ACCTATAATGTCTGTGCTGAATAAAATTGAAAATACAATATATGTGGCAGTAACAGGGACGATGTATATGTTAATGGTGACAAATGAGTTTTGAGTAATTTCTTTAAATGAGGCAACCGAAGAACAAAAACTGAGTGTATGTAGAGAGTGAATTCAAAAGAGTTGCATGCAATGCTGCAAAGAAAGTGGAAAAGCTATTCATAAGATAGACTTCATCATCAACTTTACTATTTTTACATGAGGTTACATTCTATTTTCGACTTCAGTCTTTTTTCGAGTGCATTTTACTAAAATATTCTTAAATAGTTAAATATAGTTATTCTATCAAAGTCGCCGGTTGAGTCGTCGAAGTTCACTGAACATCTAAAAGTAAATTTCTTAAAATACGACAATGTGTACGACATTGGAAAACATTATTTACAACACAATAAATATCACTTTAATATGTGAATTAACAGTATGATCACAATCCAACTGTGGCGATCATCATTTTAATAAATCAAGCGCGCTTCTGTGTATGTTTTACGTAATTGAATCCTAAAATAACAGTATACTTCTGTTTGTGAGTACAACCTGAATGTTACAGCGTTTGCTCAGTAAATCAAAATGTTAATCAAAGCGGCAATAATTGGCATCACTTCTAGTTACCGCATCCACACAGAATGATAATCACCTCAGCTTACCAAAAGTGCGTTTCCACGCCTTCATCAGCAGCTTCAAAGTTTTAATCACGTGACACTGTCCAAAATGGGTTGATACATATTTACATAAACTTGGAATCATGTCAATCGGTGATTGACTTGATTTACATATAGTAGTTAAGGCACATGAAGTAATGATTGTCAATTAACAAAAAAAAAAAAAAAAAAAAAAAAAATACAGTTACTGTTACCTGTTACTACATTAACTTACTTTAATAATGCAACAGAAAATATATACATAATTGTTGGAGGAAACATTTGTTCCCATCGATATTTTAACAGGTCGAATACATTTGACTGCTGTTCAGTTGTTCTAATAATGTATAGGCCAAACTGCGATTTTCTCAACTCAAGGTAGGCCTAGGTTTCCAAATAGGTATTTCCCCTATAGCAAATTAGTTACCTAGATAAGATTTACGTATTTGCAAAAATTATTAAAATAATGAACGGTACAAACTTATCCACTTCACAATTAATGTTTTTTTAGAACTCCGTTTCATCTAATTTCCGTAGATGTGGGATGATATTTCTTTTTTATTACTTTTTGCTTTTTGGAGATTTTTTTTTTGTATTTTTTGTTTGTTTTTTGTATTTCTTTTTAAAATGTTATGTTAATATAATGCTGTTCTTAACGCAGTACCTTTACAACAAAAATGTCAAAGAATGTACTTAGGTACATTGCTTTGTGAATATTAGAAATAAGTAAATGTTATTGTATTGTTTGTTGTTAAGCATTATGTATTACTAACTTATATTAAAAAGTTATGTCTATATTTAAAATGTTATAATATTTTGTCTGACTTTAATCTGCTCTCTATTGCCAGTGGAGAATAATTTATGTTTATTCAGACAATAAAATATTCGTGCATCCTTGTATGTGGAAACTTGATTAAGGGAACAGTCAAAGTGTTGTGCTCTCCAACAAAAACACAAAGTTTCTAATAATTAAATTAAAGGACATTTACTTCTCACCCTAGAAACAATCCTAGTTTACAAATGAACTTGATTAGATAGAGAGCCAAAATGTTAATATAAAATATTTTATAGCAATATAGATGCAAGTACAATGATTTTGACATTGTCATAATTATGTTTTCATTAGCAAAGTATAAACTCGCCAAGGTCAATAAATAGTTAATAAATCTTTCGAAATAGACGACTACTGGCAAAGAAACTATGTAGACATGTCATGAATAACCATATAACAATTATACGGTGACCTCATTAGCATTATTAGCTCCTAGGGCGAACAAGTAGTAAGTTTCTTATCACTAAACATAAGGGAGTTTACCAAACAAACCATGAAGCAGACACGCCAAGAATAATGATTAAAATTTCCTAGAGAATGTGGGCCGGCGCCGTATTCCCTACGAACCGAACCTGCGGCGGTGTGTATGGGGCGGGGATCTCAATAACACCGGTGGACATGTCAGAGACCTTCACGCAGTTCTAAACATAGCTTCTGTCTATTATTTTCCAGGTTGAATTAAGAACTTCAGTTGCTTTGAGGAAAAACGACTTGAGTACTCCGTCAGTAGTTGATATGTTTATGTATTAAACATGCACGAATAACACACCTAATTTTAGTTATATGGTTACCATATTGTCAGCAAGTCGTCTCACCACGTGATTTAAAGCATGCAACAATTTAAACAAACTTAACATCATTAATGTGCAACTGTGACGTAACACGTTGGATCTCATACATTATTTTATAGTTGTTGAATAATATATGAAATTTCCAAATCTGTTTTAATTAATGGAAACTTTAGATCATGTAACTGATAAATGCTGTGCAGAAATAAACAAACATAAATATGGAATTAACATCCATCTAGGCCTCTCACAACACGGTCTTTCTAAGAATATATACTAATCTTCAGACTAGGATTTATTTATAATCAGATATTTATGTATATATATATATATGTTGTTGTTCCATCATAGTTGCTTTACTGGCTCCCCATTGGAAAACGGATCATATATAAAGTTAACTAACGTCGAAACATCACCCCTGTTACTCTCTGGTCACGTCACAAATGACGTCATGCGTATACAGGTAGGATCCCAGCTGTTACTCACTTGAATATGGGGTGTGGAAGGGAAGGGAGTCTGAAATGATACTGAGTTGTACTGTACACATCCATTACTAAAGTCATGTTTAAACGTCAATAGAAACATCTCCATGGAGAAAAATTCAATAATGCTGTACTGTACAACTGCTGTCTCTTATACACATAGTCTACTTATATGTAAAAAATACATATAATATTTTTTCTCCCCCCCCCCGCTGGCGCCCCCCCCCCCCCCTGGCGCCACCCCTGCGGAACACATTAAAAATTCTCATTCAATTCTCACATTCAAATCACTGCTAAAAACATCTCTTCGCTGAAAGTTTCGAAAGTTGCCTCTAAATTCCTTCTAAATTTCATTGTTCTTTCTTTCTTGTTTTGTTTTTTTTTTGAATGAAAGGTAAGTTAAACATAAGAAAGCAAAAGGAAAGAAATGATATGGAATCATATGAAAGGAAAAGGAAAGAAAACATAAGAAAGATAACGGTAAGAATGATAAAGAACATAAGAAAGGAAAGGAAAGAAATGAATTTGGAATCATAAGAAGGTAAATGGAAAGAAATATAAGAAAGTAAAAGGAAAGGAAAGATAAACTAAGAATTAAAAGGGAAAACTAAAGATAAGGAAACATGAGAAGAGAAAAGAAAGGAAAGACAGACATAGAAAAATTAGAAAGGAAAAGGAAATAAATGATAAGAAATATCTGAATGAAATATGAAAGACAGATATGAATTATAAGAAAGAAAATGAAAGAAAGATAAGGAATATAAGTAAGGAATGTGAAAGATAAGATAAGGAAACATAAGAAAGGACAAGAAAAGTAAAGATCAGGAACATCTGAAGGGAAAGGAAGAAAGACAAGAAGCAAAAGGGAAAGAAAAACGAAAGTCTTTAGGATGAATAGGAAAGTAACTGGCCTTGAAATAATACCAATTACATTGCATTCATTTATTGATAACCATCAAACCAATCATTTGAACTTAATTAAACTAAACTAAAACCAAATATTTGATATTTTTTTTTTTTTTTTTTTGGTACTTCTGCATTTGTTTTGGTGTTTTTCTTCTCTGTTGTTGTTAAGCGCCTCGAGGTAACTCCAGAATTATTATTATTATTATTATTATTATTATTATTATTATTATTATTATATTGCAGTAATTGAAAGGCGTAGGACGTGATGTTAGCGATTAAAAGTACAGTCTGAGGGGTGCTTCACAGACCCATATTAATTCCTACATACATTTCAATCACATTATACCACATTCAGTTATCCAATATTTGCATTTTCTCTTAATTGGCACTCAAAATATTCTATTCGACATTGTTCAAATCAGAAAATATCTACTTGAATGGTCGATTCATCGTTTAATCCGTAAACAGGGTCAAAATTCAAGAGTGAATGTTATAATAACATCAGAGTGAATAGGATGCAGAGTGGATGTTATTGCGTATTATTTGGCTGTTTGTCACTCAATTTAATTACACGATGGTCAATCACCTCCGTGCGAATCTATATAAAACTGAAGACAAAATGAACTGTACTACTAGAACTGAAATATTTATCCCCTTCACAATTTCTCCCTGAAAAAAAAAACCCCACCTACATATTGGTAGATTGTAACATCGGTTATGTTTGTTCGTCTGGCTTACTAACAGTACCAATAGGAAGAGTGAAGACGTCACGCGTAACGTAACTCTGGTTATGCGGTTATCAATCGGTACGATGGATACACGGCGAACTGTTTCTTGTTTCTTTAAAAATGTTTCTTGTTTCTTTAAAAATGTTGTGGTTTTGGAAGCTGAGTTCGACATTAGAAAACATAGCCTACGTGAAGTCATATTATAGTAGCTCGATGCCTATCAAATAAGTAATAAAAAATCGCCATAATTCGTCAAATATCTGTGGCTTCCAGGTGGCTTCGCCTCCTCGACCCCCAACTGGGCCCTAGGCGGTTCCCTGGCGCCAGCCAAGTGAGACTCGATTCGCTCCACTAGCCACCCCCCTCGGGGCATTTAGCCCCTTTATCGGGCAGGTCCTGGTGCCATCACTGCAATGGACTAGTAACAGCTCTCATTAACAGGCTCATACCGCTGCATTGCAAGCCCTGTTCTGATTGGTCAATTGTTAAGTTTTGATATACACCCCGGAAAGGTCCACGCTATGCAGCATTTTCTGATATTTGTGTCTTCTATAAACCGAAAACCATACTTACAAAAACGACAAGAATAAATTTGCATATAATCTTTATTAATTTACACCTAATATTAACCTACTGGATTTACACATATCTTTGTTTCTAAAATAATTGCACACTTTTCAGTTGCAAAAATTGGGGTTAAACAAGAAAAAAAAAAAAAACATTCTTTAAAAATATTTATCGAAATCACATGATGCGATTTCAATGCAACCATTTATAAAATCAAAAACTTGTAACTACGTTATGTATATAAAGTGACTTTATACGCCATAAAGCATACATTGCACCAGTGGTGGCGTTACACGGTTAGCTGGGTGGTTTCACCCAACACATGTAGTTGGTGGGCTAACACTTCTCATGTAGGGTTAGCCCATGTACCATTAATTTCCCAAAACGTTTTGACCCAGTAACAGACCGGCTTTGGGCAAGGCATGAATCACCAGCTAGTTGTTGTTTATCAGGACATGACTGGCTATTTTGGGATTTCGCAAGAAATTATGGAGATTACATTATAAAAATACCCAACAAATTAGTCTCTCAAAGAGTAAAAACGGGGACCTCTGGCTTCTGGACACCAGCCCTCATTCTGTTCACTTACCCAACCGTGTTGCACTAAAATACTGTACCAGGAGGGGAAAAACGGTCAAGGAAAATGATAATAAACAAAGGGGGTGGGGGAACCCCGGGATGGAGAAAAGGGGAATGGAAAAAACTGGATGGTGTAAAAAGGGATAGGATGGAAAGCTCCCCCACCGCCATCTTGAAAATGTCCGAAGCAAAAAAAAATCATGCTCAAGTATAACCTCATTTCCACATATTTTGCATTCTAGCACCATTCGCTTAACCATCGATTCCACCACTTTACCTTCGACCCCCACCCATTGCAGTCTCCTAGATCCGTCACTGAAACAAAATATTATTCTCGACAGAGAAGTGCACCCGAGTTCGGTGCAGTTCTTGCCCAGAAACTATTGTATCTAAAATGTGTTATATAAATTTGACAGCAATACCTTGATAAACGTCTGCTTTTTTCATCTTAAATATTATATTCTGGTGAATAAACAAACATACAGGGAAATAATATTCAAAAATGCAGTTTTGAAATGTTTGGGGTACAGAATGTCAGAACCCGGGTGTTTTCACCATTGGCAAAAACTGGTTCCTAAGTACAGAACACCTTGCAATACGAAAGATCAGTATAAATAGGTTTTATAATTTTTTTTTGCTGGACAGCATTTGTGATATGGACCCTGTAGAAAGAAACAGACCATATAACATAAACAGTGTTGGCTCAAACGGGGGAGGAGAGGGTGCCTAAAATAGTGAAGAAAAAAAGAAAATTATATTTAAATTTAAATCTTGGGAGTGCTATTTCTGGCCATTTAGTGGTGCCATAATCATATGTTTTTTAACCTCAGCCCCCAACCATAGTGGGAGTTGAGGTGGTCTACACCCTCCATCTTTGAAGATCCCTCCCTGGGCCCCCTCTATTTCGAATTCATGGATCCGCTACTGATAATTAACTACAAACTGTAGGCCTATACTCTACATTACATAAAATTTACTTGTGTCCAGATAAAAAGGAATACACAAATCAAAAGGACCAATAGGAAATTATTACATTATGGGTACTTGTTACTACTACTTCTCATATAAGCTAGGCCTGGATTAATGCAGCTTTAAAGAATAATTCAGCAGTTTGTACTATATCATTCAGGCAAGGGATGATGATTTTGCTAGGTAAAGTACAGCAATCCAGGCCTGCATTTGTAAATGAATGAACATATACAGATAAAAATACTGTTACTGAGCACAGGAAATGTACATACAGTATAACATAGACGTTTTAACAAACTCATGCAATAATGGGTGGGATAATTTCATATTATAGCACTGTCCTTGTCATGGAAATATCAGAACACTGAATATAATTAATTGAATAAAAACAATGACTGATACCTTCAAATGTGCTTTGATAAACAAGATTTTTATTTTTGTGGGCCACAGCACATTTGCAGTTTGGACCACATGTGGTGTAGATGGACATCCCAGGCTGTGTCAGATTATATATACACTGGGTAACAGACATTAATTCACAACCCAGACAACTAAAAACAAGGTAATTTTGAAACTGGGCTTTGATATCAACGGCAATAAAAAAAAAAGTTGCAGGTATTCTGGCTAGATCTTTCTTTCTTTTACAATGATTAAAAGCTGCAACAAAATTTCTGCCCAGTTTTATGTAAAGATTCTCTCCAGAAACTTGCTTGTATACAAACAAAAGAAATACATTAAGGTGCAAGGTGCACGCACCAGAGTTTAGTGCAGTTCCTTCCATGAGTCTTATGCCATTTGCAATGTTGTTGACACTTAAACTGTAAACATTTACTTAAAATGTCACAATACTGTTGACACTTAAACTGTAATTTGTCACCAAAGGTTCTAAAATCTATGCAAGTATTTATTTTAACTACAATACATCAAACAATAGAACCAGATATTACGAATGTCATGGTTTCAAAAAGTCTGGTTCCAAAATCTTCACTGGCCTACACACAGCTTCAGAAATGCCTACTGTGCACTTCAATATGATTCAATCTGTGCTAACACATAAAATCAAATTAATATAGTATGTGCTGAACTTCTCACAGACTGACCAATGATCATACTGCAAATCAGATTACCCTAGGCTAGGTGCATGATTTAATTTTGACAGCCTGCATGTGTTGTAACTACCATAGATCTTCTGGTATAAGCATACCCCAAACACCCCCTTGAAAACAAAATTTGGCAGGTTGTTTTGGTGCGGGCTTATAGCTGAGGATCGCCTTTCACAAAAAAAAAATTACTAATAAAAATTGAAATTTTAAAACACTAATCAAAAAGCAATATTTCATTACTGCATGCCTAATTCAAGGCAAAACTGATTTTTTTTTTTCTTTCAAAATATTTGTCAGTTGAGCTCTTATTTCAAAACACACCCTGGAATTTTTCCAGAAGGAAGACTGGTACTTGAAATTGGGTGTAAAGTAAGGGGTGGGATCATACCAGAGGTAGGTTTATACCCCAGGAACGACGGTAATGGTCTTGCACTAGTATACTGTATATGCCCTATGAGGTAGACACAGTTTATCTTGCAGACAGCTTTTACCGAAAGCTTGGTCTGCAATAATTTAATCGATGTAAGCGTCTCTTTTTCACAGTCCCTTTCTTCTGGTTGTCATTGTCTTCATCATTACTATCGTCATCTGAGTCGCTATCACCAAGTTCTCGTTCACGTACATCTCTATCATAAGGTTTTTGCCCTCGATATTCCCAAAATCCATGTGTAGCATCCCACTGTAAAATAAAAATGAGAAACATAATTGCATTTTTTAAATGCCCTATTAGAAAATATCTGGTGCTAATATCATTTTGATAATGACTACTAAAGGCCTGTTTAATCTTCAACGATAATGATAACGACAAAAAAGCTAAAAAGCAATTGTTCATATAGAAAATAAAAGAAATAAGAAAAGTTTTTACACTAGAAAGATTCGATAATGATTTATCAGTAATGCGATAACAACATATTTTGACAAATCAAATCAGGTGACGTCATAATCATGAAAAAACATTAAACTCGGAGTAGTAGCAACGATTTTATCGTTTTACCATGATTATGACGTCATCTGATTTGATTTGTTAAAATATTTTGTTATCGTATACACGATAAATCGTTATCAAATCGTCCTAGTGTAGAAACTTCACTTATTTCTTTTGTTTTCTATATGAACAAATTGCTTTTTAGCTTCTTTATCGTTATCATTATCGTATAAACAGGCCTTAATGCTACTTACTGACGTAATGATGATGTTGATGACTAATGCTACTTACTGATGTACTGATGGTATTGATAACTAATGCTACTTACTGATGTACTGGTCATGTTGATAAATAAAACTTTTTCCTCATGATGTTGATGACTAATACTACTTGCGGATATACTAAAGGTGTTGATGACTAATGCTACTTACTGATGATATTGATGACTAATGCTACTTACTGTGTACTCATGATTTTGATGACATGGTACTAACTACAGTGACCCATAAAGTGCCACAGCAACAATTTTCGAAATGTCACGACACACTTTCGAAATTCACAGTAACAACTTTCGAAACCACACAACACACTTTAAAAAATCATCGCACACTTTGTAGTAATGCTACTTACTAATGTACAGGTGATTAATAACTAATGCTACTTATTTATGTACTGCTATTGATAATTAATGCTAATTACAGATGTACTGATGATTTTGAGGACTAATGCTCATTACTGATGTACTGTTGATGTTTATGACTAATACTACTTACTAGTGTACTGGTGATGTTGATGACTAACAAAACTTACTGACAATGTTGATGACTAACACTACTGTACAGTACTAAAGATGTTGATGATTAATGCTACTTACTGATGATGTTTATACTTAATACTACTTACTGATACACTGATGATGTTTATAACTAATGCTACTTACTGATGTGATGATGATGTTTAAAATATTACTGATGTACTGATGATGTTGATGGCAAATGCTACTTAATTATGTACTAAAGATGTTGATAACTAATGCTACTGATGTACTTGCAATGTTGATGACTATTTCTGCTTATTGATGTACTGATGATGTTCTAAATGCTACAGATGTTGATAACTAATGTTACTAATGTACTTGCAATGTTGATGACTAATGCTACATATTGATGTACTGGTGATGTTCATAACTAAATGCTACATACTGATATACCGATGAACTGATGATGTTTATAACTATTTTACTTACTAATTGTACTGATGATGTTTATACCTATTTTACTTACTAATTGTACTGATGATGTTGAAGACTAATGATACTTATTGATGAACTGATGAGGTTGATGACAAATGCTACTTACCTATGTACTGGTAATGTTGTTAACTAAATGCTATTTACTGATATACTGATGACATTGTTGTTACTGATATACTTGCAATTTTGATGACTAATGCTTCTTACTGATGTACTGATGATCCTGATAACTAATGCTACTTACTAATGTACTGTTGATGTTGATGGCTAATGCTACTTACTAATGTACTGTTGATGTTCATAGCTAATGCTACTTGGTGATCTACTGATAATGTCTAAATGGTACTTCTGATGTATTGATGATGTTTATAACTACTGTATGTTATACTAAAGATATTGATGATTAATAGGCTACTTGCTAATGACGTTGATTGATAACAAATTCTACTTACTGATGTACTGATGATTTTGATGAATAATAGTACTTAATACTGACATACTGTATTGATGTAATGTATACTTAGATGAGACTTTTTTTATTGCCTTGTTGAGTGAACTTATTCTATTTTTATTTGAATACACCATTATTGGCAGTTGGATGGTAAAGATGGTTTTAAACTGTATGCCTTTACTGATGTATGATGTTGATAACTAATGCTACTTACTGATGTACTGATGATGTTGTTATCAAATGGATGCCAGGAAATATCCCTTACACATGCTTCATGTCCTTTCAACTTGGACACAACTTTACCAGTCAGCACATCATATACTAATAGGAAAGAAGTAATCATTATATTCTATTACATTCTATGGAGGTAACGCCTCCAAATGTCAATTGATTAATTAACATTGCAGAATATTCATATTTTATGACTAACAGTGTTAATTAATTGTATTAAACAGTTCCAAAAATCGAGAGGTAAAACTGTACAGGAATACTTTTCCCTCTTTTCTAAAGAAGACTGTACCCCCTGTCCTATTTTCACTGTAATAGGATTTTTTTTCCCTTTTTAATGCAAAGGATGTTGGAGCCTACACTTTGCAGGGGACTGTGTCCATTTCAATGGGAATTTTAATTTTTGATTACAGGAGGGCAAACTTTTTACTACAGGAAGTCAATTGTAATAGGAAACGACGGGATACCACATGGTACTACACTACACTGCATGGTTGGATTGAATTTCTGCGGTGTAATACACACCACGAATAATAACCTACGGAAGTCCTGAGACGTATTTCCAGTGGGGTCCTTTTAGTGGTGAATTGGGCAGTACACCGGGAGACAATCCCCTACTCTTTTCCGAAGAGTGCACTACGTTCTTTAACATGCGCATGGGCAATTTTGCACACGGGACCAACAGCTTAAATGTCTCATCCGAAAGACGATGCGCTTTTGAAACTTGTATCAGCTCTCCAGCTAAAACAGAAGGAGAGCAGTTACAAGAATAGGACCTGAAAATCTTCATGGTTTAGCACACACACAGTGGCTACCACCAGTTTGAATAGAGAAAATTAATAAGACCTCTTCACTACATCATACCTGTGTTCATTTTAAAAGGTGCTACATTTAAGTTCAAAATTACAAAAAATCTGGTACTTACTGACAACAGCTCCAGACGCACATCCGGTGTAGATATATCGCTAAATGTAAAGACAAAAATATAAATAAAACTACATTTGTTTTTATAAGTCAATCACATTCTTCTCCATTTTCCTCCCATTGCACAGGCCTGGATGAGGTTGTCAGACTGAAAATAATACCCAAATAACGTTATTTTGATTGCCAATCCCTAAAATAATGTGGTCTAAAAGCAAAATTTACACTCTCAACATGAAATCTAACATGGCATTTTATTCCAGGACCCTGATCCGAGGCTCTAGTCGGCTTCTTGGTTCAGACATCAGCTTGTCTGACATCAGAACCCCCTGTTGGCAAATATGTGGAGCTGAGTAGCGCACCTAGGGGGTGTGCAGGGATCAGCTTGTATCATCACATTTTGCAAACTAGTGCCCTCTTATGTAATCATAGAGCCTCCCCAACTACCTTCTTTGTGACCCCCATATTTCACCCCCCCCTCCCCCACATTTCCAGATTTCTAAAAATGCCACTGCTGGAGAGCAACCACTGAATAAAGATGTACAGAACAAGGTATTTCATATCAGGATGTAACTATATTAGTCAATAGATAACAATTTTACCTGTCCAGTAGTAAAAGCAGGTGAGAAATAGCAACGAACTAATGTTTGCAACACAGCGTGACCTTTGTATGTCATCAAGGAGGGATCATCTTTTAAATTCTTCTTCCTATTGGCTGATAGAAAAAAAAACACATCAATTTTAAAAATAACAACATTCAATTCTTCCATCTTGTTGACTTCATTAAGCCTGGTTTCCATAGAAATCGCTACACGCTATCGCCGACTCCTTTGGTGACGCTGATTGGTCAGTTGAATCAGGGTGCGTTCCCGATAGCAACAGGAACAGCCACGCATTGCAAGGATTGCAGTGAAAATGCTGTAGCGATAGTGTCCAGATTATCAAATTTTCCTTGACAAAAAACTGTTGCCCATATATAGTCATGATGTGCCTATATATAATCATGATGCCAACCACAATGTTAAAAACAAAAGATCTACCCCGCTTTATAGATACTGTAGCATAAAACCCTGTACAGACTAAGATGAAGATATATTAAAATGTCAAGAAAACCGCTACAGACACAAAGAAGAGTAAGTTTCAATGTTACTGCATTCTGGACATGTTCACATGGTAACAGAACCAACCAACCATGACCTATGTGTAACGTGATAAGGGCTGAACAACATCTATGAAATCTAAAGTATTATGAAGGTCTGCAAAGCCAACCAGAAGAACTGGAGTTAGCCTTCTAGTCCTAGGGTACTGGGTTCATTTCAAGTACTTTTCTCACATTCACAACTAAAAACATCTCCTATCACAAGCCTCAAAAGACATTTGGTTTATAATGCATAGTTCTTCTCCTGTAATTGATGAGATTAGAACATGGGTTCTTTACTCCAAAATACTCCATGGTGGAGTTCAAACTGGAGGTGATGGAAATGAAATAAATAAAAATGCTAGAGATTAGAGTTCACCCTCTGATTCAAAACAGTCTGTGGGACATGAAGATTTGGGGTGGTCTTGAGGTTTTGTCTCCACACAGAGGGTTAGTGTTATAGATCTAAGATTATTTATTTGCTTCAGTGAAAAAGTGGTCTTGAATTAGAGGAGTCTTTGAAGTAGAAGGGTCTCAAACAGGAGGGTGCTCTGTACTTACATCGTCTTGGCACTCGTTGGAACCGGTAGTCCCAGTTTTGTTGTGCAACTGCCTTCTTGGCTAGGTGTATTGTTTCTTTTGAAGCAAACCTTCTCATATCCCACAGCTTTATAGTCTGATCTTTGGAATTTGTAATCAAGTATCTTGAATCACCCTGAAGACAACCAAACTAGATTGATTAACAATATTCATAATTCATAATTTTATTTTCCTCAATAGAGATGGTAGACAACGAAAAGTTTTCCATGTACGTTACCATTTCTAACTATTGAAAAGCAAAATATGTTAACAACCACACCTCTGTGAGTGCTGATGTTCCTATGAGCCATTTTGGTAAAATATTACACTATTTTGTAGTAATATAAATAAGGACACAAACAAAACAGATCCAGACTTTTCTTTAAAGAGAGCACAATATGGGATAGTTAAATACTTGAAAATTTTAAAAAATAGGAAGAATATACATATATTTTTGGAAACGGAGGGCGTAATAAAAATAAAGAAAATCTCCTATTTTTCCCCTGATATTGATATAAATTTCAAGGCAACGGAGGGTGTAATAAAAATAAAGAAAATTTCCTATTTTTCCCCTGATATTTCCAGTTTTTCTTGTTGGTGGATGTGCTAATTGGCCAAAATAAAATGTTATTTCTATTTGAAATTATCAATATTGGAGGGCGGCGAGTTCGGGAAACAAGGTAAAAAAAAAGTTTTGCCTTATGCAGTAGAGCACAAAAAGCAATCGCTGACCAAATTAAGCCTCATTTTTACTGATAATTACTGCATTGCATACATATGATACTTACTTTAGAATCAACGTATGTGAGGCCGTCAGTGTGCCCCGCAAACACCCCAACAGGATTGGGGCAAATCTCGGACAGACAACGGCGGTCCCATACCTTACACATTCCATCATCGGCTCCCGAATATATAATATGAGATGAGTCATCAGCAAAGATGACAGCGCTTAAATCATCCTCATGAGCATCAATCTACACAAATCAAAACATAGCAAATTAAATTTTATTTATTTTATTTTTGTATAAATCTGTATCTCATTAGCCATTCCTGAGTTGTTTTTTTTCCAACACTATTTTTTTTTTGTGTCTTGCAATAATCAGTTGTACAACATGTAACAAATTTGTATCCCCCGAAACCGGGCTTCAATATATCCCTGGTTTAGCCTTGGTAGCTTGTTCGTTAGAAACTTACTGTTCTAGAAACCCACTATAACAAAGACTACATACATATATCACATCAATTTAACATCAATCAATACATAAATACGTTTAAAATCTAAAGTTAAAAAAAAAAAACAGAAATAAGTAATATTGTAGAAATAACAATTAATTAACAATAACTAAAACGTCAATCATGAGGTAGTCATTTTTGCATTAGTAGACGCAACGCAACTAGATGCCGGTAGCACTCACGTTGACTTGATCGCACAACTAATCACAACTGCTAGTGACTACGCATGAAACATTTTGGCCAGAGTATACTTACTTTGAGTATTCTTTCACTCTTTTCTCTGTCATATACATAAATGCACCCATCATTAGCACTGTGAACAATACATACGTAGCCGCAATTAAAAAAAAAACCATTCATTAAATAATATTATTATAATTGACACATTTTACCATTTCATACCTGTTGACTGCAGCATGGTTGTGGTACAGTTTAACAACGATGATACGGGAAGAAAGTAGGTATTGGTTGTGATGGGAGAAAGATGGTACAAGTATACTGTAATACATAGTATATGGGTGAAAATGGTACTGGTATGATACATACAGTATCATTGGGTGAAAGATTATACTGGTTGTAGTATAGCATAGCATGGTTGAAAGTTGGTACTGGTCGCCATGGTTACAAAATGGTACTGGATAGCATCGAGTGAAACACTGCGAAGCTAGATTTTCGCGAAGTGCATGTAAACAACACAATTGAGCGATCTAAAAACTACAAAACAGGACAGAAAGGTCCATAAAGTATACATACGTTTTAATGAAAATGAAAACAATATTTTGTTAAATGGAAGAATGCTAGCTAGCGATTAAAATAATTCGTTTTTTATCGAAGGTAAACTTAGCTAGGGCCTAGAGAATCTACTACTTAGATTGCGATAGAACACGCTGCTGCACTGTCGTTGGTTCGTACTGGTCGGCTAGGTTAGGTAGTGGAAACTCACACCTTTCTGTACAGTAGTTTACAATTTTTTTTGAACGAATACCACTTGGTACTAGAGGTTCGTAAAATACAGTAGATGTTTTGTTAAAAAAGCCTTTCCACCGTGTGACGTCGACGGCCTGAAACTGGCTGGCTGTTTATCTGGCTCTAACTTGGCATCGAACGCAATTAGGGGATTATCGTATCATGTTTCAAGACGGGTATATCCAGATAAAGTTGGACGTGAACCAGGCTAACAAATCCGCATTGCTAATTACTTTTCCAGCAAGTTGTCAATAAATCACATAGGCATACCTATGGTATGACATAGTATAGCTGACCTTGCACTGGCAACAAATTACAGGAATTATAATTATAATCCAATTAAAGAGCAATTAACAGAGAAAGGTCTAATGTCCCAAATGATGGTTAAAAATCAGGAAAATACACCTCATGTATTATTATTATTATTAGTAGTATTATTATTATTATCTGACATTGGCAAGTTCATAGCTGACATTATAGCAAACAACTTGAGAAAAATTGTAATATTAAATATTAAGCATATTTCTAGAAAATACAAACAACTCATACCCAGCAAGAATCTCTCTGTTATCATTGGAAAAATTGACTGTGAACGCACAGAAGTGTGAGTGCTCTTCAGATCGCAGATCCAACGCAGTGTGGGTTTCATAGTCACCATAGATGTTACAAAGATGAACTGAAAGATAAAACACATCATAAACACAGGTTGATACACAGTAACTGTATATTTAGCAGATGGTCCCTAATTAGAATAAGGATAAAAGATAGTTGTTGTATCCTTCCATCTCCGCAACATCAAGGCAGTTAGGCGTTTTTTAAATGAAGATGCTACGTCAAAACTTGTACATGCATTGGTTACATCAAGATTGGATTATTATAATGGAGTCCTTTACGGAATACCATTATCATCAATTAGAAAGCTGCAGCTATTGATGAACATCGCTGCTCGTCTTGTCACTGGGACACCTAAATTCCATCACATCACCCCTACTCTTCGTCGTCTTCATTGGTTGCCAGTGAAACAGCGTATTGAATTCAAAGTACTTTTATATGTTTACGAATCAATTCACAAGTTATCACCACAATACATTTCCGAATTAATTATGGTTCGTTCTGCAACTTGCACTCGTTCCCTCCGGTCAACAACTGACTCAACCAATCTTTATTGTCCATCCTTTCGGTTAAAGTCTTGTGGGGAGTGATCGTTTATGGTTGCTGGGCCCAAGTTGTGGAACTTGTTACCTTTATTTATTCGTGAGTCACCTTCTGTCACCATTTTCAAAGAACGACTTAAGACCCACTTATTCTCGTCCCTTTAGTTTGTTTTTGGAACCAGTGGTCCTTAATTGGAGGTAGACTTTCATTGGCAGGGTCTTAAATTAGAGGGAGACATGCATCATCTTAATTAAACCATTTAAACACATTCATGTACACCACTGTTTACTGCACACTATCTAGTTTTAACATAGTACAAAGACATTAACACTGGGGTAATAATTAAGCTGTTACTGTTTAGCTCATAAAAATGAAATTGTGGTCTTTTGTATGAATGATACTTGGAAATAATTAGAAAAAATGTGATTAGATCAGATGAAGAATAATGAATAATTCTTTTTTGTTTTATAGCATAGCATGAGTGAAAAATGGTACTAGTTGTGGTACAGCATGGCATGGTTGAAAGATGGCAGGGGTCCCAAGTCTCCCGGAACTCCCAGGAGTCTCCCGGAACGCCCAGGAGTCTCCCGGATTCAGGTATGGTCTCCCTCACTCCTGTAAACAAGCAAAAATCTCCTGGAAATTCACTTATCTCCCCAAATTACAAATTTTTTTGTTTTGTTTAGGCCTAAACTTGGTTGCCGATTAATTTTTGCAGTCTGACAGTGCCATTTCCGGCTTCTAAAGGTGCCTATTCTAGAAAAATGTCATCACCTTAGCCCAAACATGGTGGGCATGGCCCTTCGTTTGGTACCTACACTTTTTCCTCATATAATATATAGCACCCCCAATGTCATTAAATGAATCTCCCGGAAATGGGTTCGTCCAACTTGGGACCTCTGAGATGGTACTGGTTGTGGTGGTACATACTGTAGCATGCCATGGTTGAAAGATGGTATTAGTTGTGGTAGATAGCACAGCATGGGTGAAAGATAGTAATGAATGTGGCATAATACAGCATGGCATAGTTGAAAGGTGGTACTAGTTGTGGTATATAGCATATCATGGGCGAAAGGTGGTACTAGTTGTTGTATAGCATAATATGGGTGAAAGATTATACTGGTTGTGGTACAATATAGAATATCATGGGTGAAAGATGGTACTGGTTGTGGTATATTGCATGGCATGGTTGAAAGTTTTTACTGGTGGTAGTATATAGCACAGCACGGTTGAAAGATCTGGGGCGGATTGCTATAAGCGGTCTTTAGACGGTCTTAACGGTTAGCCAGCTATAATCGTGACGTCACTACTGGTCTATGATTATAGACCATTACTATACCGCGGTCTAACCAGTTAGCTGTCTTAAATTTTAAAGCCTACTCGGAGGAGGCTTAAAACGGTCTTAAATCATTTTCATCATGGCGTTCAGCTGATTAATTCAAAAGTGCTGGCAAGACCTAGGCCTAGATTGTCAAGGTCGGAGAATTGAACGACGAATACTCCGCACACTTCTCAGCGTCTGTCTAAATAGGTTTACAGCGTTAAGACTACCAGTTAAGACCGTTTTGTAGCAATCCACCCCAGATGAAGAATAATAAATAAATGTTATTTTTCAATTAACATTAACTGAAAAAATGTCAACATTTCGGAAAATGGTTGCCGCTTGGTGTTGTGGCTGTTCTTGTGAGCGGGTCATACAATGTAAACAAGTGAGAAAATTTGAGTATGAGTTCAGAGTTTTCTTACTTTTATCAGACCAACTGGAGTAAATCAAATAGCACCCATCTGGACTGTAACAAATAATGTATTATTATATTAATGTAAGATTGTACTACTAAATGAAAATTATGAGATAAGGAAAAAAGTTAATCAGGTATAAAGTACATAACCACATTTTTGTAGTTAAACAATTTTAAAGTAAAAAATCTGTGAAGTGTTTAGGATTCACTAACTTTCTTCTATATTGGATTATTTTGACTAATCTTAGGGGTGGATCCAGAGATGTCCAAAAGGGGGGGGGGGGGCGTG